TTTTTTTTTTTTTTTGTAGAACCCTATTATTCACTCTTAATTTTCCTATTTGCAATGGTGTGTGTAGCTATTCATATATATAATTTTTAAATTTATTTTTTTTCTTTTGTTTAACAAAACACGTATGATGTGTTTAGTAACTTAGTTAATCATATTATATATTTTTCAATTTAACATATATTTCCAACAATAACATATATTTTTTTACTCACCCAAGATGTAAATCTTTGAAAAAAAAAAAGTAGTGAGAGTATAGTCAAGTCATGCATGAACATGTTCAACTCGTGAAGTTAGGACAATTGAATTCCAAATGTACGGTTAAGGCATGATATTGTCGGGGTCTTTTATCTCCACCGAGTTCTAGTTTAGCACCTAGATCTGTGGCCTCCTTCTTTGTAAAAAAAAAAAAAAAAATGTATGTTTTATGCTTATTTTCAAATTGAATAAAAAAAAGGACTTATTCTATAAATTCATTGTGAAAAGGGGTGGATTTGTGATTTTGCACTCTATTGGATACTAAAAAACGAGCTTTTTGCCAAAAACACTTTTATTCCTATATGATTCACTTTTAGAAAGTGGAATTAAAAAATAAAAAATAAAATATTTCCATAAAAAATCTACCATGAAGTGTCCTAATCATGCATGTGGTTGGTTGCTATACAGCTTGGAGGAAGGTAAACCTCATGATAAATAAAATAATAATTCTCCTAATTTTACTATACTGATTCAAGCTAGCACTGCATATCTATGTATGTTGGGGAGTAATTACATAAAGCAAACAAACAAAAATCAAGATTATTAAACATTATTGTATTTGTTCAAAGATTCTCATCAAAATTATCCGCAATATATTACATACTGATTAATATATATATATATATATATATATATATATATTATTATTTTGTATACAAAAATCTCTTTTAACTTATCCTTAAATACTCACGTTATCTTATCTGACAGTAGACACGTGTTAATATAGCAATTCAAATTTTAATGTTATTATATTATTTCTAAGAGATTCTTAACTAAATTATTCTCAATATAGTCAGTATAATAGTTTTATATGCCTAATAGTTCGGAGATTAGCTCTCGAAGTTTATGAGACTGAGTTAATATGTCGGCAAACTCGAAGATTAACATTAAAATATTACGATGTTGACATCTGAACTGTCAGTGTGTTAATCATTTGACACGTGACATAGATTAAGCAGACATATGGCCCGAAGATTAGTCGAATAAATTGAGTCGTCCCATCAACAAACAAATATCAGATTAGGGAAACTCATGAACTAGTAAAGGTCCCGACATCCTCGCCTTAAGGTCAACCCATGAGCGCGAAGGAAAATTAGGTACTGAACAGACAACAACTCGATGTAAACCAAGAATCAGAGAGAAGACCCGATCTCTTCACTCTATGATCGATTTACGATCATAAAGGAAATGAAAGAGTTAGCAGCCCCAGGACGAAGCATCTTATGTGAAGAGCTTGACTATCCCACCACATAGGGGCATACCAAAATCCCCTTGAAGATCGGCTTCTGACACCACATTTAATTCGGACACGATATATATCCATCGTACTGACGGAAAACAATCATAAGGCATGAGACCTACCCTGCAGAGCCGCACCACGCTTTCAGATCGCAATAAATGGCAACGTGCGGGTCTCGAGAACCGCACTCGTGGATCTCATAGTATAAATGCCCCTCATTTTTATTGTAACATGGACATATTCATTTACCAGTTTTGCTATGGAGCCATCGGATGGCTCGGCTTATGGAGCCATCCACAGTTATTCACAAATAGTGTATTGACACGTGTCCTGCAATAAATGCACTTTGGACAAGTGTCAATACACTAAGTCATGGATGGCTCCATAAAAAAACCATCCGATGGCTCCATAGAATTTTTGATTCATTTACTCTGTCTAGAGCATAACCTTTGTACTAAAGAACTTGGTTGTTTTGCTATATAAATTGGGTCATCCGTCCTTATTTATTATTAAATACATTTTCAATTGGGGAGCCGTTGTTACATATTTCGCATAACAACATACGACATCCCGGCCGACAACCATGTGTCGGTGAACATTTTCTTTTTATTTATATATATATTGAGGGTGCGTTTGATTATAAATAAACTCAACACATACTCAAAATATAATTCATTTTAAATCAAAATCATTATTCTCAATATTATTAAGATAATTAATTTATAACAATCAATCATCCTTACACACAACATCAACTTTAATTCATTATTCTTCCACCCACATAAGTTTAACTAAATATCACTTAACATCTCTGCTACACATTTACATAAAAATCAACTTTAATTATTTTATTTTAAATATTATTTTAATATAAATTCAAAATTCACTAACTTTTAATCATACCACTTTATTTTTAAGTTACTTTTTTCTAATATTTCTTATTCTTTGCTTAGAAACAAGCCTAACAAGATTTTAGGAGGGGGAAAAATGGATTAACAGTAAAAGCTGTTGTCTTTGTCTAATTTCACATTTTCTGTTTACCTTTTTCTTCACTTTTTCCTCCCTTCCATTTTTTATTGTATTACCACTGCCAAAGTTTCCTGCTTTTTTCTCCTTTACCCCTCTCTCTCTCTCTCTCTCTCTCTCTCACTCACAAGTTCACACACACACACACACAGAGTCCTTCCCCATTTTTGCTCAAACTTTTTTGGTGGGCTCCTTCATTTATTGACTTTAAGCTCTCTACTTTCAGAATCCTCACTTGATTTGCTTCTTGAAAAGCTGCTTGCTTAATTTTTCACAATTAGGTGCCTTTCTTTTCCCACCTTATTCCCGTCATTAATTTTGTTTCTGGCGGTGTAATATTCTGATTTATGTTGCAATAATGACACATCCTTAGCACAACATCAGTCTCTTACACCTTTCTTCAGTTGCAGTTTCATTTTTCTTCTGCTTCTCTGTTGCAGTTTCATTTTTCTTCTGCTTCTCTTTCTTTTTGCTGGTAGTAATAGCAACAAGGGATAGTTTTTTTTCTGGTGGTGAGGTTCTTTTTCTTGAAGCATAGTGTCCTGATCTTTTCTGGGTCTCAATTTTTTTTTTTCCTCATTAAATCTTATCTTCTGGAGTCTTGTAATGTTTGTTTTTTTTTTCTCATTAAAAGTTCAGCATTTTTTTTTTTTCCAGCGATATTATCTTTTTTTGTATGTTTATGTGGGCCATTTGCAGATTGGGTGTTTGTAATTTTACTATTGCAAGAATTTGCTCTGTAAATCTTAAGGAACTGCCTTTATTCTCATTTTTCTTTCTCTTTTTTTGCTTGAAAGATAAGGGAGAAAAAATGGCAGGAGGTGGAAAGGCAGATGAACCAGCACCACACCCACCAAAAGATCAGCTCCCAAATGTTTGTTATTGCATAACAAGCCCTCCTCCATGGCGTGAGTCCCTTATGCAATTTTTTTAATAGATTGTTGTATTTTTCTACTTTTTACTATATTCTTGATTTTCTGTAAAATGGGTTTGAACTTTGAAGGATTCTATCAGCTCTGTTGTTTCTCTTTTTCCCCTTATAGTCGGGGAAAATAATTGGGTTGTCAATTTAGTCCCTTTCTTTACACTTTATGTGTGTATATTCCTGGTGTACATTAGTTTCTAGGTTTGAGTTGAAAGTGCTCTGCAGAATATTTGTGTGGAGCCTTGTTATGCTAATCTATACCTTATACTATCTTTCTTTGGCCAACTAGAACCTAATCTGATTCCTATGATTTTTTTTTTTTTTTTTTTCATATTTCCCTTGTTTTTCCAAATTATCCTCTCCCCTCCCCTTCGTTTCCTTTTGTATTTGTTAAAAAAAGTTTTAAGATGTTAGAAATAATTACTGTATGAGTATGCTCGGCTAAAAGTCTTGTTTCCTTGTGAATTTGAGGGGCTTGATGTACTTTCCTGGCTATTCTCGACTAAGAATCTAGTCAATGGCGACTAATGAAAGCCTGATTTTATAATCCAATTTAACATTCGCTTGGCTTGGTCACTTTGGTAACTAGTTATTTTAACTATTCGTTTTATCACATTGTGCTTGAATGACTTCAACTCAAATGATACAAAGTTCTAAAAAGCTCGTTAACTAATCATCACCTGCACGGTGATGTCAGTTAGATGTGGTGCATGCGCATAAACTACTTCTTCATCTATGTTTAAGACTATTTTGTTTGAATTTTTTTATATTATTCTACTAAATGGTTGCAATAGTGGTTCTGTACTAAGTTCGTAAGAAAATTTGGGTTTGCATTTTTCGCAGCCGAGGCAATCCTTCTTGGATTTCAACACTATCTCGTGATGCTCGGGACAACAGTTATCATACCCACTGCCCTTGTTCCTCAAATGGGAGGAGGAAATGTGAGCCATTAATATGATAACATGCAATTTTTACATTCTCACTCAAATTCTGTTTTTTTATCTTCTTCTTATTCCCTCAAATCTTTTTATGCACACTTGCCCTTTTTTTTTTTAAATTTATTAAGGAGGAGAAAGCTAAGGTTATTCAGACTCTGTTGTTCGTTGCTGGTTTGAACACCCTGTTGCAAACATGGTTCGGAACAAGATTACCTGCCGTTATTGGGGGTTCATACACATTTGTTGCACCCACAATTTCAATTATCTTATCCGGTAGATGGAGTGACCCAGATCCCGTATCGGTTTGTGATGATGCAACCTTTGATCTTCTGTTACTATTATACTTTCTTGGATTATAAGGGCCTCTCATAAGTTGCATTTCCCTTTTTGTTTAATTTTTGCTCGTGTAACTATAGTTTTTTTCGATTATAGTTACAAATTAATTCGCTCAAAAATGTGTTTAAATAAGGGTTAATTTCGAAAAAAAGTTGGATGCTTAGTTATTAGTGGGATTTTGATTTTATATTAAAATAATATTTACAATAAAATAAATGTTTAAAGTTGATTTGATGTAAAAGTACGGAGAAAAATGTTGTGATGTCATAGTTAAAATTATTTGAGTTGGTTAATACTGAATTAAAGTTGATTGGTTTATATTATTTAATTATATTCATAATATTGAGGATAGTGGGGTTGAGTTAAAGTTGAGTACTTGAGTTAAATTTTTAGCGTGAATTGAATGTGTGAATTATTTTGTAAACAAACATGGTCTAAATTTCCATCTAGCCTTGTTTACCGGTGCCCCTTTTTTTTATTACTTTTACTAGCATTAAGTTGCATAATAGAGAAAACTATTCATGGCCTAGATATTGCTGCTCCATGACATATAATAGTGATGTATCTGAAAATTCTTACAAAGCAGCACTAAATGGCTGCTAACATATATATACATTTCTTTGTAATTAAATAATAATACAGAGGTTCAAGAAGATCATGAGGGCCACTCAAGGTGCACTTATTGTGGCATCAACCATTCAAATCGTGCTTGGTTTTAGCGGTCTATGGCGCAATGTTGCAAGGTTTATCAGTACTGCTCTTTTGGATATGATTGCCATATATTATTTTTATCTTATTCTATGTTAAAGTTATTTTGTAATGAAAAATGGCATTTACTTTATTATTGACAATAGTTAATTTTCCCACTAACTGTAGCATAGTAGGAGGTATAGATTTCATTTTATTGTCTGGTATTCATTTGATTAATTGATGCTATATTTTTAATGATGACACAGATTTCTGAGTCCACTTTCAGCTGTTCCTTTGGTTGCTCTTGCTGGTTTTGGGCTCTATGAGTTTGGTTTTCCTGGGGCAAGTGCAATTAACCTCTCTCTCTCTCTCTCTCTCTC